ACAGCGAGGATCCGGATTCCCCAAAAACAAACAGCAATTACACCATCGCGGGGCCTCGTTGGATTTTACCGGTACTCTGTAATTTAAAAGCCACAAAATAACCACCCGATTATTTCTCTCTCTCTCTCTCTCTCTCTCTCTCTCTCTCGCGTCTGGCGACGCACGCCGAGATCTGAAAATCCTTTCCTTTCCTTTCTCTTCAACTTTCTACTCAAAGGTCCTTCTTCTTTTTTCCTTAATCTTCTTGCATTCCTCCAAAATTTGACTTCAATTTCTCCGATTCGCTCTGATTCAGTCGCAATTTTGTTTTTCCAATCTCCTCGCGCATTTCCGAATTTTCAGATTCGTCATGGATTTCATGAAGGTCTTCGATCAGACGGTCCGAGAAATGTCAGTTTTTATTGCGATTTTACGCAATTTTTCCGTTTTAATTTGATATTGTTTGCAATTGAATTGACATTTTGTTTGCTTAATCTTGATGTGCAGAAAGAGGGAGGTGAATCTGAAGGTTCTGAAGGTTCCGGAGATGGAACAAAAGGTAATTTACTGTTAATTCGACGAAATTTACTTTTTTCATAGGAATTTCTTATCGTGTAACGAAAATTATAGATCTGAACTCGAATTGTTGTATTCATGGTGGATACAAACACCAAAATTTATTATTTAATTTTCGTCCTCAATAGTTATTGTAGCATTGCAGACTTAGATTCTATCCTTGTAGGTGCATTTGAGCTGATATTGTAGCTATACTTTTAAGTCGTTTAGCTTTGAGAGGTCACATCAACAAGTTTTCTCCAATCACGAAATTCCTGCATTGATTTGCTTTATCTATCGTCTATTTTTCGCATATACTAGATCAACTGGCTGACATGAATTTGTTTAATCTCGTTTTGGGAGCTGAACTCTGGATAATTATGATTTACTTTAGCTATGTCCAGTTCAAGATTTTTTTAAGCTTAACGAATTCATTTCATTGCTGTTATACAACAGGTGTTGGATGCCACGGATAATGAACCTTGGGGTCCTCATGGCTCTGCTTTGGCAGAGATTGCACAGGCCACTAAAAAATTGTGAGTCTCAACTGCATTACTGTTAAGGATTCGTGTTAAAATCTTTTTTATAGTACAAATTTCCGGAATCTTGAAGGGACATGTACTTACACAGACTTGCTGATTTTTGTTATCTTTTAGTTCGGAATGTCAGATGGTAATGAATGTCTTATGGACAAGACTGAGTGAGACGGGAAAAGACTGGCGCCATGTTTATAAGGTAGAATTTTATTGGACTGTGCAAATATGGTGCTTATAGAGATGCATATATACTAAATTTTGACATCGTTGAGTCATGTGCCTTTTTAACCCTTCGCTATCTGAAACCACTTTTGTATCAGGCATTGGCTGTTATAGAATATTTGGTGTCACATGGATCTGAACGTGCTGTTGACGACATTATAGAACATACTTTCCAAATCTCAGTAAGGGCTTTTTTTTATATGTTCTGAACCCTTTTTTTTTTTTTTTTTTTTTTTTTTTTGGTATATCAAGTTGAGAATAAGGTTGAATATGCTCAAATATTCTGTTTCTCCTTTGGTTTTCTTTCTGTTGAAGTCACTCTCAAGCTTTGAATATGTTGAGCCAAGTGGGAAAGATAATGGTATAAATGTGAGGAAGAAGGTGGAAACTATAGTGGCCCTTCTGAATAATAAAGATAAAATACAAGAAGTTAGAAACAAAGCTGCTGCAAATCGTGACAAGTAAGCTTATTTTCAGGCGACTAGCTTTTCAAGTTTACTTCAACTTCTCTGAAATCTTTTGATTAGATTTTAATAAAGTATTAGCACGTTGCCAACTTTAGGTACTTTGGACTTTCATCTACTGGGATAACATATAAGGCAGGTTCAGCGACTTCATCCTCGTATAGTAATAGCAGCTATCAGAGTAGCGACCGATATGGAGGTGTAGGTGGTACAGGAGCTGGTGATAGTTTCAGGGATAGCTACAAAGACAGACATGAAGAAGACAAGACTGAGAAGTTCAGCTCTGGCAGATCACGCCGTGGAGTTACAAGTGAGAACCGAGAGAGCTCTTCAAAGAAGGGCTCAACACGAAGCAGGTATTTGATTTTTACAGTTCGTGAGAGGTTGCAACCTTAAGCTATCGTGCCTTTAGACTGAGATACTTTGGATAACACTGAAAAAGGTTCTTCTGAGACTCAGAACTGCAATGCGTTGGAGTATTGATGGTTTCTGTCAGTAATAGCTAATTTTGTCTGCAGCTTTCTTTCTCACAGATGTACACGCACTCACACACATCCTGCCCTCTGCACACAGAGAGACCGAAGCCCATACATATTGTCCTAATAATTTTTCTGCTATGTGATCGTGTCTGGATTAATCTTAAAATGTTTATCATGCAGGAAGGGTCAGGATGATATATCATCTACTGTGTCAAAGTCATCAAACAAATCAAACGAAGCTGATGCATACAGTTCAATTCATACTCAAAGCGCAAGTATTCCTGATGATGATGATGATGATTTTGATCCACGAGGGACTTCTACTACTAGTAAGTACATATGAACGCTGATGCAATCGGCAGCTTAATGCAAAACTAAAAGGAAGCCTTGTGGGAAGACATTGGCATATGGTGTTTAGTTGCAATCAATTCCATGCCATTTGGCCTGTCAAGATTGTCTGATTTGTTAAACACAGTGATCTTTTGAAGGCTGCTTGTGCCATGGAACACAGTACATCGTTTGTTGAGTTCTACGTTATTTGTTCAAACATATACGCTTTATATGAATATCACTCTACTTTTGGTTGACGTAAAGTTTCCTGCTTTTTATTCCAATACATTTAACAGAATAAGTATGTAGTGTGTGTTTTTTTAATAATATGAATGATTTCTTTGATTTAATTTAACATTTCTGTATACTATATTATTTTCAATAGAGGCTGCTGTTGGAAGCTCAAACCAAGTGGATCTGTTTGGACAAAATTTGATGGATGACTTCATAGATGCTCCAGCATCTGTTCCTGAAGAAAAGGCTGGCATGAACAGCAGTTCAGCGGATGTTGATCTGTTTGCAGATGCAGATTTTGTGTCAGCACCACCCCAGGCAGCAACTGGAGTATTTGCAGACTCGACCTTTGTATCAGCACCACCCAAGGCAGCAACTGGAGTGAGTTCTCAGGTCAGGCATTCCTATGTTTCAAAGGTGATGTTTGGGTTAAAATTTCAAACACAAAGAGGGTATAAGTTAAATTGCACCCATCTATATATGCAATTTTTGCAGAAGTTTGCTTAAGCATGTGAAATGTTTTGATTTATGATTTTGTAGTTCTTACAAGGAACTGATTTTAGGGACTTCCTTTAAGTGTTTTTTAATTCCTCAAACGGGTCTGAAGTTCGTTGCTAACAGACTTCTTCTGCAACTAATTTATACAGAATGGCGTTGATCTATTTGCTTCTCAACCAACCATTTCTCCACCAGCCTCTTCAACAGTTGATCTTTTTGCCACTCCTGATCCAGTTATCCAGCCAGAAACCAAGTCTACAAATGCTGCACCAACAAACACCAACATTGTTGATCCCTTTGCCACTGTTCCTCTTAACAATTTTGATGGATCTGATATAATGGGGGCGTTCGCCTCACATTCTGATTCAGCAGCTTCAGAACCTTCCCAAAGTTCTGTCAATGATGGCAGCCACAATAATTTGGGGAAACAATCTTTAGCAGATTCGAAGACTCCACCCAAGAAGGATTTCCAAGTGAAATCTGGCATTTGGGCCGATTCACTTAGCCGTGGACTGATTGATCTCAATATATCTGCTCGTAAGTATATCCATGTCAACTAGCATACTTCCTTCCATAGCATAATTTATTGGTTTGCACATGAAATAAAATTTGCTTAATGTTCAAGGTGTGAGTTGAGAATTGAGATTCAGAAAACTTGCCGTTGTGGTTTATCTAAAAATGTGATAAATGTCTGGATTGTGTTAGGATTAAGGTTCTCTGTAATCATGATACATAGCCAGGGATTATTGATTTGAGTCTATTTCATTTTCGGTTAGTGGATTGACTGGGTAAACTTTTGGAGTGGGTTTCTCGTTGAAGTGACGAGTTTATATCTTTGTTAGTGCTTGCTTAGGAAAATGCCTGTTGTGTTTCGTAAGTATTATGTATAATAATTTGGGATAGTGGTGCACATCTCTGGTTCCTTAGTAATTGTGTGCGCAAATTTTGCGTTTTTGCACATCAAATACATGTTTAGTTTGGTTTTTATGTAATTGCTTATTCACTTCATGTACTTGCAGCCAAGAAGGTGAATCTGGCGGATGTGGGGATTGTGGGTGGCTTAACTGATGGAACAGACGAAAGGGAGAAAGGGCCCCCAACTTCGTACTACATGGGAAGAGCAATGGGTTCGGGGACAGGTCTTGGGAAATCAGGGTTCCCATCTTCACAAGGAATAGGTGACGACGACCTCTTCTCAAGTCTCAGCGGCGGCAACCAGCAATACCAGTACGGTGGATTCCAAAAGTAATTTTGTTATTTTCCGCCATTTTTCGTGTCTGCATATTCTTTAACCCTGCTCGGCCAAAATATTGGAAGTCGTATGTTTTGCTGTGCTTGTTTTGTTCGTAATCATCGGTGGGAATATTGTGATTCGAGGAATGCATTGATCCTCAGTCGAGATGGTTTCGACGCTTTTTAATATAAATTCCAGTGGATACTCGCCCTTGACATCGAGCCTATGTTTAAGTGTAGTTTTACGTGTAACGAATAAAGTTGGTCACACCTCAAATCAATCTTCTGTTCGGCCCTGGCATGCCGAACTCCATTGTAATCTTCTGCTGCGCCTCCTTTGCTGGATTGCGCACTCTCTTATCAACGACAAATTTATTACGAATGATCAAAATGATTTACTGTGGATAAACTCATAAACCACTTCTAGAACTAATGTGAGGAGTTAATAAAACCTCAGAGCCCGAATTATTAGATAATTATAATTTTTATTTTAAAGAAAGGGTTGAAGAGGACATCATCACACATGTTTTTTGTTATGTTTTTGTTGTTGTTTCTAGTAGTACTGCACGTCCATCATCCTCCCCCTTACCATGGCTTCTGCTTTCCTCACCTGCGTCACTGGTCCTATGATAAACACCTACATTCAGATAAAACCCCCCCCACAAACTTGGATTAGTTCCATGCGAATACTTCGAAAAACTGTTATATCATGTAGATTCGATGGACTGGATTGACCTTATGCGGCGGACCCTTGTTGCCTCCCATGAAAATTTCCGCACTGTCATATCCATAACAGTAAAATAATAATTAGGCGGCGATAGAGAGAACAGCGAGAAAACAGATGGAGGTACACAGAGGAAGTGGGAGAATTGTACTTGCAAGACTCTTTTATTGCCAAGATGGAAGCTCCTCTTCTCCCGATAACACGGCCCATCTTTCCCGGAGGAACATCAAGGACTGAAAGGATTTCTTCCTCCGGAGCATTACCCTCCACTTTTAGGTTATCTGCTAGGAGAAATAACATCCGATTTAATTACACTCTGTACACAAACTACGGAGGATTCTTATCTGTTAAAAATTAACATTACGAACACTGATTGATGGATGACATGCACATAAACTTTAGTGGCAGAATTAATTGGATTTGAATAATGCAATACATAATAGCTTTAAGCCTTTAAGCTTGTATATAATTCAGCTTCCGAGAACCTAGGTTATATGCATGCAGAATGTTTCATCTCGTTTTGAAGTCTTCAGTATTACTTGTGTGGCATACATATTGAAAAAGATTCAAGACCTGGAATAGGGGGTAGACATGGCCAGTCTGCAAAATTATTATCGCTGATGCAAAAACAGCGGCAATAGAGCGCACCACGAATTGCAAGATACCATAATGACTGTTGATTCAATTTCTCCATCATCTTGTAATAGATATGCAGAAGAAAGCGGACATCATCTGCAGCTGCACGGACCATCTGTTCAGATAAAGGTCTGTATGTCCAAAAGTTGGGATCCTGTACATATATTAAATACATGTCATCGACAGAAGACCCTAGTTCAAAATGATGTAATATGACTATAAGATATAAAGTGTATATGATTCAACATCAAACTATGCAAATTTAAGTTATGGTCAATGCTCTGTTGTTGATAATCTAAGTGCAAACCACTTCTTTCGAAACCTTTTTCATCAGGCTGTAATCTCATAATCATTTTCCCTGTCTACCATCACACCGACTTAACCTTCAATGTATTTTATATGGAAAATCAAGACAGGGAGAAAAAGATAATAAATGGAATCCAGAACAATTGTTATGAAGTTGAAACTAACCTGCCTAAGGAGGAAACGAACTTCTTCCTTCTCAAGATAAGATATTCCTGCAATCAGACTATTAAAGTGAAAACTGAAGCCATCGTGTGAAGATCAAAGCCTAAGAATCCAATTCATCATGTCCCCATGTCTAATTTTGTCATCCCGAAAACTTTTGAATGTAATTGGATAACATGAAATACTTGGGTGTGGTACTTGATGAATGAACTTTCAAACAAATTATTCTTATGATCAATTTGAAACTCTTAGAAAACAAAAGCATAAGCTATTTTCATCAAATCAATGTAATCCGAAAGTATATGGAAATATGATAAAAAACAGAAACTTCAATGGATACCACAAAATATATAATACCACAATAGCGTGGATCAGCAAGGAGGCCAACGAATGATATATAATCAACTAGCACTCTTTTCTGTCCTTCTTGCTCCTCTATCAGTGAATAGGCAATCTGAAAGCCAAAAATTATATTATTTTTCAATCTACCATCATGCCTAACAAACAAATATAGATAGCTGGAGAGATCCAATTAAGAATCATATCGATCATTAGATTGTACCAAAGATAAACCATATGTTTATAAAAGTTAAAGGTCGACTAGGCACAGGAGTAGGAGTCGATGAAGCACTACTATCAGGCCAACCTTCAATACAAGTGGTTTCGAAGAATTATCAAGACCACAAAAGCAAGCCACATATCAGAAAAGGTTAGATTCAAACGAGAACACATAGAGATGTATTTGTAAGTGATGTCAGTGCCATTCTAAGCCAGCCCACTATGGACAGGTCCTCAAACTAAATTTCAATTTAGTCCCCGTAGATTAAACTTCTCTCCGTCTAAGGACAGATAAGGATTCTTTTTATGTTAGATTTCACATCGAAAAATACGTAGAAATTTCTGACAAGTGATAAAGGATGCTCACCTGGGTATCTACAACATTGTTCAACTTGATGCCAAACTGAAAGTACAAGGCCTGTAAAAATAAAACAAAAATCAATACCAGCAATAAAATGTCTTGTTACAAAAAGGTACAAGCTGGGATGCAAATAAAACTTATCAGAGACCTCACTATCTCGTTTGCAGTCATGAAAGATATATAGCATTTGGGAATGCAAGCTGGCAGAAACAAACACTTCCAGTATATTAAAATAGCAGAAAATTACATACAAGAGATTGCCTTCATTATATACTTCCGATAAACAAAAAATACATGTAAATCCAAGAAATCTAATCAGAAAGCGAAAGGACAACCAATTTGGGAAGCAATGACTCTTAGTTTTTTTATTTACTTACTTTTTTGAAGTAGGCTATTAGCAAAAAAGCTTCAAAGCGCTTCGCAGTCATATAAACATATTCTGGAGAAGCACGTGCTACGTGCTTTTCCAGATAACTTCCAATTGTTTTTTTTCAGCAAGCATTTGGAATTTTAATAAAATTTCAACTTGCTTCTAATGAAAGCACTTCAAGTGTCAACGTATAGAAGCAAAAGCGGTTCCTACAGAAGCATTTCCAAACGGGCCCTATATGCCTTGCTTAGATTAGACAAACAACTAATAAATGAGGTTGGTTGGACCCAAAGTCGAAGCTGATACAAAATCCATAAAATTACAGAGAAAATATCAATTTGACATACCTGCATAATACAGAGAGTTCCATGGCGACAGAGGTCAACTCCCTCGCAATCGAAACCAATGATCAATGGCCTTTCAGCTGATGGCTCCAAGAACTCAGCAGGCAGCTGAGATGCATGAGTAACTATATGAATAGGAGCCATTGGCAACTGGGTTTCATGATTTAGGGGTTTTTCACCTGCAGTCCACCCAAAAAACAGCTAACTTTCACATGAAATTAAACAAAAAGAAATCAAATTTAGTTCAAATTCATAAAACCCACTTCACAAATATTCGGGGCAACACAGATATTGAAGACAATCATCCAAAGATTCAACATTTTGCATATATTTTTGCTTTCCCGCATTTTCCCAGCAAACAAACAGACCAAAATCGAAAGAAAAAAAAAACAAAAAAATTAAAGGTGCACCCAAGCTTGTAATAAAAATTGAAAAATGGGAATTGGGGAAATTGGGGAAATTGGATTGGATTGGACTGGAGAAGACTGACCTGGGTCAGGCGAGAGAGGAAGGTGAGACTCAAGGGGAGGAGGTAAAGAGGCCATGCGATCGGACCATCCACGCAATCTTTAATTTTGCCTCCGAAACCAACTAAACTCTATTCTCTCCCACTTCACCAAATTATATTAAGCCCCCAATTTCATTATTTTTTACGCTTTTCTTCAGCGGCGGTGGAAAGCCGACAACCCGTTGGGTAATCCGACCCGTTCTCTTTAGATGAATAAAGTCCTTAAGATATCTCTAACACTTGGGTTAAAATCTAAAAATTTTAAACTAACACAATCATTTTTTAATGGTTGGCCTAAAATATGTTTAGGTTAAAACATATAATATGGGCAAATTTAACCCAGAATTCCATCAAGGGTTAAAGGGCTGGCCCACCTTATGTGCATGGACGTGCATGGAAAGGTGGAGATCATAACAAGGCGATATATCTAGGCCTGGCATTTTGGACCCAATCCGTTAACCTGACCCGACCCAACCCATTAATATTTGTATTTGGGTGAATGCTTAACGGGACGGGTCGCTAACGGGTGAACCCGTTAACAACCCGTTAAATAACGGGTCACTTTGGGTCAACCCGTTAGACCCGTTAGGACCCGTTAACACCCGTTAGCACCCGTTAGTTGAGAATATTTTAGTAATTTTAGTAAAGTCTTAATAACAAAAAATAAACTTTATGCAAAAAAATAATAATAATAATTGTTAACGGGTGAAACGGGTGACTCGTTAGCTTAACGGGTCGGGTTCGGGTGACCCGTTTGCTTAACGGGTTGGGTTCGGATGACCCGTTAACTTAACGGGTCGGGTTGAACCGGACCCAAACCCAATAAACCCGACCCGTTTACAGGTCTAGATATATCAACATGTGAGAAGCGTGAGGGCTGATAGGATGTGAGATTTGTCGAGAATGTCTGCCACACAAAATGAGCCCAACAACACTTTTTTTTTAGACAGTTTTAATTATGAGACTGTTGGTTGATCTAATGGTTCAAATTCAAACATATTTAATTTTAAAATTTTAAATAAATTAAATTAAATGGCTAATATATAATATGATCAAATATAAAAAATTTAATGTTTCAAAATTAAATTCAATAGCTAAAACAATAAAAAAAAAAATTTAAATCAAAAGGTCACCCATAAACTTTATAAATACATGTTTCATGGGATTGGTTTAGTGAACTTTTAACTTTTATTAGAATCTAAATATTTTAAAGTTAAAATGTTCATAAAATTAAATTATGATAATCTACATAAATTTTTTTTTTGAAAAAAGTTATTGAAAAAAAAATTTAGCCTAAATTCATTTTAATAATCTTAGACTAAATTTTTTATATATTATAAAAGTATACCAAAGCTCGTCTGTTCTTTCGGATTTTACTTGAAATAATTATAATCAGGGTGGCAACTATACGGATCATTTTCGATTATGAAGAGTTTGATATAAATTTATCTACTATATATTCAAAATATATTAAAAGGTTATTTTTTATTTTTTGGCAAAATATTAAAAGGTTATTGATTTTTTTTTTATTCTTTTGAGATTTAAAGACAATTAATATGAAACAGAGCAATTCACATTCTACTTTACAAGTGGCAGATTGCCATGGTGTTCAAGCCCTTATTTTTCAATTTTTCAAACCCTCCCCTCTCCCTTTAAATACAGAATATCATTTGCAATAAAAAATTATATAAACTAAATACAAGTTATCATTCATATGATTCTAATTTTATAGACCGGCCTAAAAAATGCTTACGTCTACCTCATCTCTCCAGTTACTCTTTGTTTGACCATATACGAACAATATATGAACAAGTAAATTGCAAGTTGAATACTCAAAATACATATTTTGTTCGCCTTGCTCCTCTATACTACGTAAATATACTGTATACCTCGATTCGAAAAATACTGTGCTTTTTAAAGTGGACCCCACGGCTCCCACCACAACTACAAGGTACTGGTGATATATTATTAGGAAAACTAATGAAAATAACTTGAAAATTTTGAATTTTAACGATAAGAACAATATAAATAGTAAAATGAATGGTAACATGATTGATTTTTTTAGTGTAAAAATATGCTTTTTCGTTAAAGTAAACAGTACTAAGAGTTTTTCGTTAAAGTTATCATTATTATTTTATTTTGGTCCAAAATTATGGTGACGTATATGATTTTGTGTTGTGACGATCCTGTGTCCACGAGTCCTCCCTCTCCATGTTATCTGATAAAGTTGGGTGTAAGTGGGACGTGACAACAGCAGATTTTACCCGAATCTTACTTTTGTGTGTTGCTTCTCAAGCTGTTCACCATTTAGGAAAGAGATCATTTTCGGACCATTTTCATTAAATTCATCATATCATCTAATTTAGATTTTTAAAATTTGATCAAACAGTTAAAATTATTATAATTTTTAAAAAATTTCGTATTTATAATCGTTGGATCAAATTTCAAAAGTCCGAATTAATTAATGGATGAATTTGGTGGAAGATCCGGATAGGATCCCTTTCCCACCATTTAGATCCCCCACTACATAAATTGTACACGTGGCAGCTACACGTCGGAACAAAAAGTGCAAACTTTGACTCGCATCTCTATTTTACCTTTAGCTTTCCCGCTTTTTAATATCATCACAAGTTTACCGAATTTATTTTTATTTTTTATAATAAACGATATTATTTACGTTAAAAAATAAGAGTTGAGTTTAATCTTATATTGCAGTAATAATGTGGTTCAAATTTGTTTTTTATGAGAATTGAATTTCTCACTTGTAAGTAAAGAAGAATACCATTAAATACTAAATGTCTACTGAATCACTTTTAAATTGACAAAATACTAATTAAAATACGAAAAGTGTTTTAGTGGTTTATAGCACTCAATTTTTAATTTTAATTCTTTTTAAACTAGGACCGTTTCCATCAAAAGTAACGTATAGCAAAAGTTATGCAGTTTAGTGGGTCTGAGACTTCAATTCTCCATCCTGTAATATGGCTTGTACAAGAAAAAAAATGTGAATTAACAAGTTGTTGAAATAAATCGAGTTTTTAAATCTATATTTATGAAAAAATTGTAGCTTAAATAGTTTATAATTTTTACTTTTTCTAGTAAGTCTTGTGATCTAGTTTCTCGTCTCTCTATTTCGCCTGCTCTCATATCGCTTTGTTTATAACGAAATAGAGGAATAATGATGAAAAATAGAATAAATTGATCTCAAGTTAAATAGGCCTTCATTGTCTTTGTAAACTCCAATTAAGTTTGGATAAAGTAGTTAAATTCATATAAAAATATATTATCTCCCACCCTAAGTAGCAGTATTTGATCCACTCGATCAATTAATTCAGGTTTTTAAAATTTAATCTGACAACTATAATCATTGAGTCTCTTTAAAAGTTATAATAACTTTTACCGTTAAATAAAATTTCAAAGGTCTGAATTAAGTAATTTGATGAATTTAGTGGAAGGGATTTGAATAATATCCCTTTCCATCTTTGAGAAGAAAAATAAAATAAATTACCAAAAGCCAAATGCAATATAGTAATAAAAGGAGCCAAATGCATTATAGTAATAAAAAGTGGAGGTTCTTCCTTCTAGCAATCTAGTTCCATCCAAACCAGGGCCCAACAAACCCCGCACTTTTTCACTTTCCCTTTTCATCATCTCTCTCTCATTTGCGGAATCCCTAAATTAAGCTTTGTCCTCTCTCTCCTCTCTCTCAGCCCTCGAACCCCAATCTGTTTCTTGGCTCTGCTTTTACTCCTATCCCTTCTTTCCCACTATTCACGCTCTGAGTTCGTTCCTCCATCAGTTTTCACTCCCCAAGTCCTTTTTTCCTCTTCTGGGATAATCCAGAAATCTCTCATTTTTTTTTTCAACTTTTTCTGTGAATTTTGACATCTGGGGTCTGCCTGATTTCGAGCTTCCCTTTCTGGGTTGTTATCAACTAACTGGTTCAGCTTTTGGAAAGCCTGGTTTCTGCTTCTGGGTTCTCTGGAATTTGATCTGTTTTAAGAAAGGTGAAGGCTTTTCAGCTATCTACCTGTAGATTTTTTCAGATCCTTTAACAAAGGAGCTTTTTTTTCGAGTAATTTTCAAGTGGGTTTTCAAAACTGAATGTAAAAATCGGTTTTTTGCACTTGGGTTTGGAGTGTTGGTGTTGAAAAATGAAGAGAGGGAACGAGGAGAAGGTTGTGGGACCTATGTTCCCAAGGCTCCATGTGAATGATGCAGATAAAGGAGGGCCGAGAGCTCCTCCAAGGAACAAGATGGCCCTCTATGAGCAGCTGAGCATCCCATCTCAGAGGTTCAATCCTGGGGTGCTGCCTCTTAATTCAATTAACCAGGTAATTTAATCATAATTTGTGCTTACTCTTTTCTTAATTATTTATTTGGATTATTTTGAAATGTTATTGTTTTAAACTTGTAGTTAGGTTATGGATTTTCTCAGGCTTTTTGGATTTTTGTTTTTGTGGTAGGTAACTATAAGTGTTGTTTTGTGCTATATTGAGTAATGTTGCATATTACTATGTCTATATGTTGTGTTTTAATGGCTATTAATTGTAAAAAAAAGAAGTTAAAATATGCCAATATAGCTACTATTTGCAGCATGCTGCAATTAAGAGGGAAAAAGCAACGGTGTGTTGATAAATAGTGTTGGAAGCTTGTTTAGTGTGGACGGAAAATGATTATCGCGTATCTGAATTTTGGGAGCAATTTATGTTTTCAGGGGAGTCGTTCGGATGGAAATTTGGCTTTTCCACTTCATGGGCATCCATCTACACCTACTCATCAGGCTGTGATTTTTCATGGTCGCCAGTCTGATGGAGCAAATGTAAACGTGCCGTTCGGACAAACCGACCTAAGAAGGAAGATCGGATATGAAGATGATTTTAGTGTTCCTGTATTTGTTCAATCAAGGATGGGTCTTGGTCACAGTAAAACTCAAATTGGTAGTGAGGAAAAACTTACTCCCATCAGCTCGCCTCATTCTGACCATTTAGTAAAAGTAAGAAACGTGGGGAAGAAGGATCCAAAACAAATAAGCTCCTCAACTCTGAATTTAAGACGAGAATTGAGAAGTGAGAGAGAAGAGGACCTAATAAATATAAGCGGTTCGAGTAAGGGCCATTCAGGAAAATTTGCGGCAAAAATATCAACCATACAAAAGATTGATGGGCCTGTAGAAGCGAATGCATCACCAAATCAAGAGGATGCAGAATGTTCTGTTCCGAGATTCAACAGGTTAGCTGAGAGTGATGCTTGCTTACAACAAGAGTCTAGAACTGGGTCGCAGCCAAACGTAACTGGACAAGGTGATGGTCTTGTTGAGTCTTCAAGGGATGTAGAGAAGGGAACTCTTTCCCAGGAAAAAAGTGTTTCTTGTTCTGGGGCGGATCCTACCAGTCCCAATGAGCCTGATAATGACAGTGAATACCGTGGAGACAGAAAGTGTATTTCACCTCAAACGGGACATGTAGACAAAAGTGATGATGTCTCAGAGACCTCCATGGTGGATTCTATATCCGGCATGGACATCTCTCCTGATGATGTTGTAGGAATAATAGGCCAGAAACAGTTCTGGAAGGCAAGAAAAGCAATTGTCAAGTAAGTCTCTATTTTCTCCGGTAGTTCATTTCAGTTGTTACTTTGCGCTTTAGAATTTTGAAGTTCACTTTTTTCCCAGTATGCGGTATATGAAGCATTTGGTCTCATAATATCTTCGTGTTGTTGAGTATTTCTTCACTTATGCTTTGTGATTATTTTTGTCTATTACTTTTTTTTCTTCCGTATAGCTGTCTTAGACTGTTATTTATATAACAATTAGGAATATAGATATAATTTGAAGGTAGGTGAGATTTCATAGTGCAGAGTCCCGGGATTCCTTCTAAAGTGGAATTTTTTTGTGTTATAAGGCCCTCGATAACATTTTAACAGTGGATATGGATCATCTTACAGCAGGAAATATACATCTTAATAGAGTTACCTTGTGCAACGTGACCTCCGAGACAGCGGATCATCTCGTTATTCATTGCCTTTTTGTAGGGGGTGTGCTATCCACACACCCCATTTTACTTCTCACACACCCTTGATAATTTCCATCCGTTGATCTTCTTCAATTCATCCGATCCGACGGCCGAAAATTAAAAAGGTGTGTGAGAAGTAAAATGGGGTGTGTGGATATCACATCCCTTTTGTATCTGCCTGTTGGGTTTATTCTTGTCTCGGTTTGGTAATGCTTGGGGGTTTCCCTGTTCACTATGAAAAGATTTCCCTTCATGGCACTTGAGGGCTGGGAGCAAGAAGGGGAACAAATAATGAAGGATTATCCTTGGGACTACATTGTGTGGATCTTGGACTATATTTGACAATATAGACTATATAGTTGACATGGTGGTGGACATGGTGGTGAGGAGGATTACATCTCTTATGTAGTATTTTGATGTGGTGTAATGGAACTTGGAAGATTTTATTTGGTCGGGGTTTGCGTTGTCTTTCTTATACACTATAGAATATGAGAGTATCCCCTATATATGTGTTCTTCTAAACATTACACCGCTTTTATTTTTCATTATGAAATGTGAATAAGAAAGCTTTAGTTTGTACAATGCTTTTATGATTTTAATTGAATATTACAAAATTTAAGCTGTTTTTATGTTAAAGAAAGGAGATCTGCAGACATCTAAATGATTTATGTCACAGATATTTGCCATGTTTCAGAATCTGTTGTAGCATTTAGCTTTCTTTTATATTGCTCTGAAGATTTATGTCGCAGATATTTGCTATGTTTTATATCTGTTGTAGCATTTAGCTATTGTTTTATAGTTTTGAAGTGGTTTTTGTATCCATTATTAATTTTATTGCTCTGAATTACCTCGTTGTGTATAACTGTTTTCTGATGAGCAATTTGCTGCATCCATCCTTAAGCTGTTTCCTTCCCATGTTTGGTAACTGTCATATTTGTCTACAATCCTAATCAATATCACGCCTAAGGATTACCTTGGGGTTGGTCAGGTGGAGTTAATGGGCTATGGTGTTTTTCATGGGTAAGCAGATATTTTGTGACTAAAGCACTTAGTCATTTTTCTGTTATCTCTTAAATAACATGAGTTTCTATTTTCTGTTCCGATGCATGTAATCCAATAATCCACAGTGGGGATTTGTTTGGTACAAATGATTGTCAACTGCCCGATTTTTCATTTATGTCCAGTTTATTGTTTTGTTTTCTCGTATTGGTTTTGTTTTTGTGATTTACCAAGTTTCATATGGTTTGGTGTGTATTGTGCAACTATGTTTTTGACACGACTCCTTGTACTTTCTACAGTCAGCAAAGATTGTTTGCGGTTCAAGTATTTGAGTTGCATAGACTCATTAAGGTAAGACTAAATGGATAGATTGTGTTTGATTTCTTTTTGTTGAGAATGTACACACACACACACACACACACACATATCGGTTGACTTAGATCGGAAGAATTAGCTGAATAAAATTCTCTTTTGAACAGGTCCAACAACTGATTGCTGGATCTCCACATCTTTTGCTTGAAGATACTGCTTTTATGGGCACATCTACTTTAAGGGGATCCCCAGCAAAAAAACTCTCATCAGAGTATGTTGTAAAGCCACTACTACATATTGTAAAGCGCAAACACGAACCTGAGAAGCCAAACAACAAAATGGAATGTTCTGCGGAAAATGCAGTAGGGAAAACATCTCATAATTCTGTGAAGAATGGTAGTCAGACTTCAAATTATGGGCCATATTTAGGAAATCCACAGCCAACTCTTATGGCTTCTGATAATAAAGCCAGTCCTTGGTGTTTCCATCAGTCTCCAGGACATCAATTTTTAATTCCGGTAATGTCGCCTTCTGAAGGACTTGTGTTCAAGCCGTATAATGGACCAGGATTTATGGGAGGACCAGTTTGTGGAGGATGTGGACCCTATGGCTCAACTCCGATGACAGGCAACTTTGTTAAGCCATCCTACGGGGTTCCATCTCATCATCTTCAAGGAATGGGGGTTCTTCCTGTCCCTCCATCACTCAGTGGTCATACTTACTTTCCTCCATATGGCATGTCCGTTATGAATCCTGGCATGCCGAGCTCAGCAGTTGAACAAATGCATTGGTTTGCTGGACCCGTTTCACATGGTCACACCAATCAGTCATCTGGAGGGGGTGCAAACTCCAATTTGCAGCACCAAAGCTCATGCAACATGCCATCCCAGAAAAATGTCACCATTCCTCACGCCAAAAGGCTTCAGCCATCTAATGACAGTGGGTTACAAGGAAGTACAGGCAAATTACAAACAGGGTCGACTAGAGCACTAAAAAAACCAGCGTTCCAATGGGCTTGGCTATGTTATTCTGTTAAGGGTCGTTGTTTCTGCATCTGTATTTTCAATCCCGATACTCTTTAAAATACAGGATACAATACAAAAATGGACGATATCACAACGATGGCAGCTGAAAGACACGAGTTAGCGGAACATAAGATAAGAAAAAGGAGTTTCAAAACTGTGTTTTATACTCATCTACTATATGCTTGGAGTTTTCATATGAACAACTTCGGTGTACACTATGTTCTCCATCATTGATGATAGTATCCTAGCAATGAGGGAGAGGCCTGTTTTTTCGGTTAAAAGGGCTACGGGTAAGCCTCTGGGACAATTTGGTAATCACGTGGGCTGCAACCTGTGTGCCACGTGACAATTTTTTTTTTAATTTAAAAAAAACCTGAATCTTCTCAAAAAAAAAAAAAAAAAAAAAAAACTGAAAACTGAAAAAAAGCAGAACCCAGCCTTCCCCGCAACCCCAATTCCTCCCTCCTGAGTCGAGCTGAGCCTTCCAACTACCTCCCTCTTCTCCACTCTCTTCACCTAATCCCTTGTTATCGTGTCCGCCTCCAAACGCGATTTTGTTAATCGAGCCCGAGAGCTAGCTGTAGGTGGAAGATCCGGCCGGGTTGAAAACCAGGTCAGATTGCTGGTAGCAATTGGAGCATGATGTCGGCGATAAGGTGGGTGAGGGTGAGGTAGTGGTTGAAGGTCGAGAACTAGGGATTTTGGGGGGGTTTGGGGTTCAAGAGAGAAAGTGAGAAGAGTGGAGGAGGGTCGGGTAATTGAAGCCATAGTTGCTTAGCAAGTACTTGTTCAGCAGCAAAACCCTAATGTTGGACGACTACCAGGCGGTAACGAGTCCGATCGTGAACAAGCGGCTTTTCCCCTTCATCTTCTGAGGTGGGTCACAACCGAACGACGGAGATTTTGTGGAAAAAAACCCAGAAGGCGTTAGATTTCAAGTGGGGGTGGGATCTTCTAGGGTTGGGGCATTGGTGAAAACCCAGGTGCAGAATGAAGAATTGGGTTATGTAGAAACATGGGTCGGCCTTGGGTTTTGGTTTTGGGGATTTTGGGGGGTTTGGGGTTCGATGGATAGAGTAAGGAGAGTGAGGGAATGAGATTCTGGTTTCAGTATTTTATTTTTTTGTTAAGAAGATTCAGGTTTTTTTTTTTTAAAAATTAAATATTTTTTTTTTACCACATGGCACACATGTGGTAGCCACGTGGTACAAATGTGTTAGCCACGTTAGCTCTTAATGGATCAATGGATGGAAAATGTAACGGAGGTACTATATTGAAATAAAATAGTAGGTGAGGTATGAAAGTGAAATGTTTTAAAGATGTTGTATGAGGTTGTAATAGACTTCAAACATGATGGGGTATTATGTAATTTACCCAAAAAAGTATGATTAGAATAAGAAGTAATATTGAATATAAATTAAAAATATATTAATATTAGATTGAAGTACTATAATTAGAATTAGAAAAAATATATAGCAGTACTTACATTTTTCCAATTCTTCACATGTCAAGCATGTAGAAAATACCAAAAATATCTATATAATATTGGTATGTATGGCATACCGCCGGCCGGTAACAAAATCCAATACCAAAGCAATACCATTAATTGTCGGTTCAGTATAATGTCATCCGATTATGAAAAAAAAAATGCCAAAACTATATCATACCATTATGAACCTACCAGTATGGCTCGGTCTGTAAATCGGTTTATGGCAAAATTTCCCACCCCTATTGAAAATTGCTAAAGCAATATTCTGTGAAACATAAGGTTGCGCGGTTGGACTGCATCCCGCCCTTCAAAATGCACAGTAATTGGGGGAGGGATGTGGCCTGGGCACCCAACTTGGGACTGCCAAAGTCCACAATCGTGAGTGCTTCATAGGATGGATATAGTGGTGATTTGGACTATGGCCAAGAAAGGCGAGCAATGAGAGGGCAAGGTTTTCAAGGATTTTTAACACCGTCGAAATTTGCTGGCGGTGGCTTATGGAAATAACAATGTAACATTGTGGAAAGAATCGGTCGATAGTGAGTGGCAACAAGCAAGCACAGTCGATCGTATGTGTTTTTACTCCTGATGTATCTGTTTCTGATTTACTTTTTTGTTTTGTTTTTTTTATTTCTTGGTGAAATGGTAATGGTGCTTGTGTTGCTGGGTGGGCGTTGTGTTAGATGAGACTTGATATATTAAGATTATACACCAAGTCCATAAGATGAGATCGTTCAAGCAATTAAACCACAACCGATTTGTTTAATTAAGAAACAACAGAAATACAAACTGACCTGTAGATGAGAAGGATGATGCAGAAGCCATTCGATCTTGAAAACACAAAAACTTCTCCTCTCTGGCAAAATCTCAATACTCAATCAAATAATAGGTATATGATTCTCAAAAGAGTTCGTACTTGTGAGAGCAGCAGCAGCCATGCTATTTATACTAACAATTAGATTGCCCTATTACAATCCTATCAGGAATACCAAACTGTAATCCCTTTCCAAGTATGAGTTTCTATACTCCGAGCAAATTGAATTCTATAATGACTAAAAAACTCCAACACTTGTGCAGACTTCTTC